GTTTTTAGAATAGTTATATGAAATATATTTAAACTTCAAAGTTAAGCTATATTAAAAAAATTGTTATTCTTGAACTTTAAAATGTTAATTAAAGTTTAAACATTAATCAAATAATAATTAAACTTCAATCAAAAAATAATATTTTTTATTTTTTTTTTTCTAATTTGGAACCAGTGCCGAATCGAAATCGTCGACAGTTCTGGTTGTGTTGCCGAACCGGAACCGTCTAGGCAGTTCTGGTTGTGTTGCCGAACCGGAACCGTCTAGGCAGTTCTGGTTGTGTTGCCGAACCGGAACCGTCTAGGCAGTTCTGGTTGTGTTGCCGAACCGGAACCGTCCAGGCAGTTCTGGTTGTGTTGCCGAACCGGAACCGTCCAGGCAGTTCTGGTTTTGTTGCCGAACCGGAACCGTCCAGGCAGTTCAGGTTGTGGTTTCGAACCGGAACCGTCCAGGCAGTTCAGGTTGTGGTTTCGCACCGGAACCGTCCCGGCAGTTCAGGTTGTGGTTTCGAACCGGAACCGTCCAGGCAGTTCAGGTTGTGGTTTCGCACCGGAACCGTCCCGGCAGTTCAGGTTGTGGTTTCGCACCGGAACCGTCCCGGCAGTTCAGGTTGTGGTTTCGCACCGGAACCGTCCCGGCAGTTCAGGTTGTGGTTTCGCACCGGAACCGTCCCGGCAGTTCAGGTTGTGGTTCCGCACCGGAACCGTCCCGGCAGTTCAGGTTGTGGTTCCGCACCGGAACCGTCCCGGCAGTTCAGGTTGTGGTTCCGCACCGGAACCGTCCCGGCAGTTCAGGTTGTGGTTCCGCACCGGAACCGTCCCGGCAGTTCAGGTTGTGGTTCCGCACCGGAACCGTCCCGGCAGTTCAGGTTGTGGTTCCCACCGGAATCGTCCCGGCAGTTCAGGTTGTGGTTCCACCGGAACCGTCCCGGCATTTCAGGTTGTGGTTCCGCACCGGAATCGTCCCGGCATTTCAGGTTGTGGTTCCGCACCGGAACCGTCCCGGCAGTTCAGGTTGTGGTTCCGCACCGGAACCGTCCCGGCAGTTCAGGTTGTGGTTCCGCACCAGAACCGTCCCGGCAGTTCAGGTTGTGGTTCCGCACCGGAACCGTGCCGGCAGTTCAGGTTGTGGTTCCGCACCGGAACCGTCCCGGCAGTTCAGGTTGTGGTTCCGCACCGGAACCGTCCCGGCAGTTCAGGTTGTGGTTTCGCACCGGAACCGTCCCGGCAGTTCCGAGTCCTGAGTGTGGTTTCGCACCGGAACCGTCCCGGCAGTTCCGAGTCCTGAGTGTGGTTCCGCACCGGAACCGTCCAGCCAGTTCCGAGTCCTGAGTGTGGTTCAGAACCGGAACCGTCCAGCCAGTTCCGAGTCCTGAGTGTGGTTCCGAACCGGAATCGTCCAGCCAGTTCCGAGTCCTGAGTGTGGTTCCGAACCGGAACCGTCCAGCCAGTTCCGAGTCCTGAGTGTGGTTCCGAACCGGAACCGTCCAGCCAGTTCCGAGTCCTGAGTGTGGTTCCGAACCGGAACCGTCCATCCAGTTTTGAGTCCTGAGTGTGGTTCCGAACCGGAACCGTCCATCCAATTCTGAGTCCTGAGTGTGGTCCCGAACTGGAACCGTCCATCCAGTTCTGAGTCCTGAGTGTCGTCCCGAACCGGAACCGGGTTCTGAGTCCTGAGTGTCGTCCCGAACCGGAACCGTCCATCCAGTTCTGAGTCCTGAGTGTCGTCCCGAACCGGAACCGTCCATCCAGTTCTGAGTCCTGAGTGTCGTCCCGAACCGGAACCGTCCATCCAGTTATGAGTCCGGAGTGTGGTCCCGAACCGGAACCGTCCATCCAGTTATGAGTCCGGAGTGTGGTCCCGAACCGGAACCGTCCAGACAGTTTTGAGTTTGGTTTACCTTGGGTAATAGATTATCTTTTAAAAGATAATGTATGATTTTTAGAATGTAAGATTATCTTATATGTTTGGTTTTCTGAGTTTGGTTTACCTTGGGTAATAGATTATCTTTTAAAAGATAATGTATGATTTTTAGAATGTAAGACCATATATTTGGTTGATAATTTTTGTAAAAAAAAAAAATACAGAGTCAATTTTATAATTACTAAAATTTTCAAGTTTGTAAAAATTATACGATGAAGATTACCATTTTTTCCTTAATTTCAAGTAACCCTGAACCATTATTTATCAATATATATATATATATATATATATATATATATATATATATATATAGATGTGTATTCAAATGAGGACAAGTATATTATAAAGGACTGTGAGGACAAATGTAGTGTGTGCCATTAGCCGGTATGTCGTGTGCATAGCCGAATGTAGTCGTGTGCCACAGTTTGTATGTCGCGTGCTAGATTTTTTAATTTATAGAGCCTAGGTTCGAAACCTGATGTTTACATTTATTCTTGTGTGCCATTATGTATTAAGTTGTGTGCTTGGTATTAATTTGTTGTGTGCCCATTATTTGTCCTCACAGTCCTCTATGTATTGTTGTCCTCATTTGAACTCAACCCTATATATATATATATATATATATATATATATATATATATATATATATATATATATATATATATAGCGCTAATATGCGGCGGGGGCTTACGGTGCGGTGGTGCGGCAGGATTCCAGAAATATATTAACAGTGTTAACAACATGCACCAACAGTGTAAAAAAACACACCATAATAAAATGAAAAAAAAAAAACACCAAAAAATACACCATATAACTCACCACACCCTAATGGTGTATTTTCGAACACTATATGGTGCGTTTACTCGCACCTAATGATGTGTTTTTGGTGATACGTACCTAATTTGTGTGTGTTTTTGTGGTGCATTTCATAACATTGATGGTATATAATCGCTCAACTGTTGGTGATGCCGCACTGCCACACGGGAGGACCCTGTCGCACTTGAACCTAACACTCTCTCTCTCTCTCTCTCTATATATATATATATATATATATATATATATATATATATATATATATATATATATATATATATATATATATATATATATATGCGGTCGCGCCTTAACGTGTCGCCCTTTAAAAAGTGCACCAATAGTGTTAGGAAAATGCACAACAATGAAATGCACAAATACACCACAAAAACGCACAATACACCCAATGGTGTGCTTTTTATGATGATGCGTATCTAAGGGTGCATTTTCAGGATTATTTTTGTTGTGTTTCCTAACAATATTGGTGCATATTTGTATAACAAACCATCGATCTGCAAGGAGCGAGGTCATTTTCATAGAAGTCTACCGGTATTCGATTCAAGCTTTTATAGTCTTTAAAAGTCTACTAGTATTAAAAAAACTTATTACCTTTTATGGATTTTATTAGAATTGGATTTATGTAGACTTTGTCTTTACTAATATAAATAGATATATGTAGACTTTTTTCTTTACTAATATAAATAGATAAATTCAACCCCAAACTTTTTATATACTTTTGATTTTTATCTATTTATTTTTATACATATTTAGAAAAAATCATAACAAACAATTATTACGAACAACAACTAAAATCTATTAATGTTCATTACAAAATTTTTTGATGTGATTCTTCTTGCTGTTCGCACCAACTAAGTTCATCCTAGAAACTAACAACTTATAATACTCTATCATTTAATGGACTCACTATTTACCAACCGCAGAAGACAATTAGTTAAAATTAAAATAAAGAAATATTTTTATTGATTATATCATTCCGTGAAAATTAATTATATCATTATATCGCACGGACAAAAATTTATAGGTATTGTTGTAATGTTATGATACTAAACAGAACTAATTTTATTAAAAATGTAAGTATAACTATACAATGTAATATTTAATATTTTTAAAAGTTTAATTATGTAATTATTATGTTGATTTTAAAGTTTATTGTTACTTATATTATTATTATTATTGTTGTTGTTGTTGTTGTTATTATTATTATTATTATTTTTATTTTATTATTATTTGATTTGATTTGAATTTGAAATAACTAATTTAATTATATAGCAAACGTATTTAATAAATTAACAGGCAATATTTGGCAAAAATCTTTACAAAAAATTTATTTATTTAAAAAAGATTATTTATGTAAGAACTATGTTTATTTTATACTTTGTATCTAATTTCTCCTATTTATATATGTGGAGTGAAATTAATTATAATTGAGGTTTAAATGAATATATATACACAAATTATATTAAGTATAAAACTTTACCAATAAATGTGAACACAATAAATGCATTTGGGTGAGATTTTTTTTTTTCCACTTCATTTCTCTTTAATAAATATAGATACAGAGATAGAGATAGAGATAATACACTCTATTTCGGTGACATCCAATATTTAATAATAATAATAATAATAATAATATTATTATTATTATTATTATTATTATTTTATAATGCATTAATTTATTTATGATTTATGATTTATAAAAGTATATTATGTCGAAAATTAAAAATAATGTATTAATAGAAGTTATGGAATGTTTGTTAGAGTTTTAATGACTTTTATAGACTTTTTAATATGAAAAAAGTTTTTAAAAGTATAAATATTTGTCCTACGAATTTTTATAGACTCGTACAAACATAAATGTTTAAAAGATTATACGAAAGTCTAGAAAAATTCTACAAAAGTCATTTAAAATCTATCACTTTAAAAGTCTTTGAAAGTTTATAAAAGTCTTAATTGAATACACTCCCTAGATTTTTGTTTTGATTTTTTTTGTTCATATTGATATTGATGCTTTTGATGTTATTATATTACAATCAATTGCCTTGATTTTTTGTTTTTGTATTTTTAAAATATTTATTCCATTATAGATTTCTATGTGTGAACCAAACACACCTTAAATAAAACAAATTTAACCTTTTTAGTTTTGGTTATTTCGATCAATTATGAAGTTTTGAACATGTTGAATTGAATATATGAACTTCTTCTCATAAGTTCAAAGAAACAATAAACAATTACCACCTAGTTAGTAGTGCAGTTCACCTTAATTTTTAGATGCCATTATGTTCCCGCCTTCCCGGGAAAACCCTTTCGCTATGATTTGGGAAATTCTTGTAAGCATGACGTCTTACTTTCTTTCTTCTTTTTGTTGTTTTTCATTTTTTGAAGATCGAAGCACGGTTTCGTATCTTCGGAATTTGCATTCCGATCTAGAAATCACTTGGGAGCTTGTGAGTCAGTGGCATTTTCGGATTTCACGACGTGGTTTGAAGCGGTTGGGCTTCCTCACTTGACCGGTATCGGAACCTGACTACACGGCGGCATTGGTAGCTGCCGGCGGCGGATTTGGAGATCTAATTGAGGTCACGGAGGTAAAGTTCCAATCTTTTTTCTTGAGGCAAGAGGTTCCCTTAACTTGCATGTTTTCTCTTACATAATTTTTGTTTGCCCTAGAAAACGAAATTGCTGAAGAAATTGACATATTATAAAATTGGAACATACCAAATTTCCCCCTATTTGGAGCCTTTAGTAGACAGTATTTGGAAGAAGAGACCGAGATTCGAAACTTGGCGGTGATAGTGTGAGAATTATGTTCAAAGCGAACAAATCCCTTGTGCCCACCGGCATTTGGCCCTGTCGGCTGAGCCATAGAGCTATTGTGATTTACCTCCCCACATGTTCTGTTGGACTGGGGCGTGGGACCCGTAGGGTTGGGAATTCAACCTTTTGGGAGAAAAGAAATGGTGTATTTAAATATGGGCTTGTTCTTTGTGTGTAGTTAATCCTCATTATTTAGGGTTTTGGTACAATTATTAGTTATATAAATTCTTAGAGAAAATTAGGGAAGTAATAGATAGTTTCAGGATTTCTAAATTCAATTTAGGATTACTCTAACTACTCTAGCTTGTTTCCTTTTTGAACTCTGTTAGGAATTAGGATTGTTACTGTCTTCCTAGATTGAGTTTAAGAAGGCTACCAAAACTCCTATATTGAGTTTAGGAATGTTGCTTTAACTCAACTTTGTGAATTGTGAATCCTTGAAGTGTTAGGATTGCTTTATTAATTTAGTTTGCTAGTAGATTGGGAATCCTAGAGATGAAAGGATTCCTAGTTTCCGAATCTTGTGTCCCCTATTTTACACCCCACAATATTGTAACCTTTGTATAATCAAATACAGTGCAATACATTTAATTTTTTCTTAGAATTGTTGTATTCTCTATTACTTCTTCCTCCATACACACACCTTACTGAAGGTGGTGGTTCTTTGCCACCCACATCTTCTAATAATTTCTAACAACCTTTGTTCATGAACTAATTATTCAAGTTTAAGCAAGGGGTATGGGGGATGCATGTTCTTGGCAACTATAATATATTAAGAGGGTAATACAGTCAATAGCATTCAAAAAAATATTAAGAGGGTGCTTGGTAGCCCGGAAACTGTGGGAAACTTATTCCCAATTTTGGTGCAATATTTGACTTAGAAAAGTTTTGGTAACTGGGAATCCAATTCCATAATATTAAGGATTCCATAATATTAAGGAAAGTAAATCCCACAAGGAGTAAGATTTGTTTTTTCCCGAGTAATTGGGATTCTACCAAATTTATTTAATTATTACATACAGAGTATTTATCCTTTTCGGACTCTGGCTAAAAGTCTCTTATAAATATAATTAATTTGTCACTTCCCCCATTACACACGGATTATCGATGAAATTTGCATCTAGGTATGTAGTCAATATTCTTGTCTAGTTTTCTTTCTTAAATATAATCCTCAATAATGATGAATGTCTATTATTTTTGAATTTCATTTACTATATTTTGCATGGTTGCAGTAGGCGCTAGGCACTAGTTGGGCGGTAGAGTAGCGTCTAAACAGCCTAGGCGGGCGCCTACGCGGCTAATTAAAAAACGACAATGCACATGTGTAGGTGTATATATATGTCATATATATATATATATATATATATATATATATATATATATATATATATATATATATATATGTCACTGTTGTACAAATTGGCCTACGCGGCGCCTAGGCGCTAGGCGCCCCTAGGCCGTTTCGCTTTCACTATTAGGCGCCCAAAAATTGGTCGGGCGTCTAGGTGGCGAAATCGGTAAAAATCGGCCTAGTCGGCCAACTTGGCTTAGGCGGCCAACTTGGTCGAGTCGGTCGATTTTGACCGATTTCGTCTGGTCCAGTCGTCTGTAGACTAATTTGATACTTTGAATCTTTGGATGATTGAAGTATTTGAGTATTTTTATGTTTTTAATATCGTTTTGATGTTATGACTCATGAATTGTCATTATTTCATTTATTTGGATGTGTTATTTGATTGAATGTTGCAAACAACCTCATTAAAATTGTCAAACTGTAAATCTCTCATTATTTTTTAGACGCTCGCTTAGCGCCGCCCGGGTGTCCAACTTGTGCTTACTGCAAGCATGATATATATATATATATATATATATATATATATATATATATATATATATATATATATATATAGACAAAAATTAGCAAGGCTGAGCCGATCGGGTTATCTCGGCTAATTTGATTGAAATGGACGAGTTAATTTAGCCGAGTTAGCGACGCTACCCGGGCGCCTGACTAGCGCTTACTGCAACCATGATATATATATATATATAGCAAGGCCGAGCCGACTGGGTTATCTCGGCTAACTTGACCGAAATGGACGACTTAATTCGGCCGAGTTAGGCGCTTGGCGGACGCCTAGGGTGAAATCGCCACGGTCTAGGGGCGCCTAGCGACTAGGCGGACGCCTAGACCGATTTTTGCAACAATGATATTTTGATAGAGCTTTCATGTCCGTTCGTAATCTCTGGCTTACTACACTAGGATTTTTTAAAATTTTTTTTTTTAGACATTAGTTCCTCAATAGAGGGCATTTAAACCAAAAACCCTTAATCTAGTTTGTGTGCATGGAACATAGTCTCCTTTAAGCAATGCATTGGATTTGAGGCTTGTGAATGGAGCTAGAAACATTGAAAGGGCTCCTCTCCCCATTGAGGTCCAAAAGTAGTTTGACTAGGAATTACTTTGAGACCAATATGGTTACAGGATAATGGGGGTTTTTGACCAGAGTATCAAATTAATGAGGGGTTTATTTAGGGATATTGGTGCTTATGTGATACTGTTTTACTGTTTCAGTATGTCTTCCACATGGTTTTGCATTTGGAATAAACACCAATACCTACATTTACCTAATAAAACTTGACAGGTTTTCACTTTGTCCATCACTTATGCTGATTTGGTCGAATGAGAGAAGTCCCACTTCTGGGATGCATCGGAAGAGATTGTTTGGTTATAATAATGATCAGTTTCATGGATCCCCATCTAACTTCAAAAAACAAAAGATTGATGTTACCACTAAATATCCTGAATATTTTGATGCCCGGCATGCAAGTGCTGAGATTGTTGTGATAGCCCTGCCTGCAAGACATCTTACACCCAGTTCTGGTAACCAACATATATCATGCAAAGAGCTTGATGCTTCTAAGCCAAGAACAGGCAGCAAGGAAGTAGATTCGCCAGCCACTCTGATGGGGACAAATTTATATAATGTGGCATCAAGTGAAGATTGTTCCGAAGGATGTTTGTCCGGAGACCAGAAGCCATCTCAAGCTCTGCCTCTAGCTATGGAATTTCCACCTTTTCTTTCTCAACAATCTTTACCACAACAAAGTGCTTCATCCATGCAACATCTTTTAGCAGGTTATGGTGAAGCATGCGAACTGGTTCAAGTGAGAAGAAATTATGATTGCGATATAGTGGAAGTGGAAGATGATGAAATTTGTAATTTGCCTCCACATGAATCGCATTCATTTCAATCAAATCATGAATCCTTGTTAAGTAATGATAGGATTAATGAGCAGCAGGGCAAGCAAATTGTGGATGGCGAGCGCCAAAGACTTTGTTCTCGGTACAAAAAAACGAAGAAACTCATAGACAAGAACAAGCAGCATGTAGACTCTGGAGATTCAGAACAGAATCTAGTGATCAGTCCCACTTTTTGTAATGATTCTGCCTCAGAGTATTATAATAACATTGCTCCCACAAATGAGTGTTCCCTAGTTGACTCTCGCAAGCAAGTCTTGAATGTTTTAGAACATTTCAAACAAGTATACAACAAGCTTTTGGAAGAAACCAAAGGTGGTTCGGTTAGAAATGCAAAAGGAGGTGTGCCGATGAAAGCTGCATCTTTCCTAAGGAAACAACAAAAATGGTTGCAAGACAAGCCGACCTTTGGCGTTATTCCTGGGGTTAAGATTGGTGACACCTATCAATTTAGGGTGGAACTTGCAATTGTGGGACTCCATCTCCAATATATTGCCGGCATAGATTATACAGATTTGAATGGAAAATTCCATGCAACTAGTGTTGTGGATTCTGGTCATTATAAAAATGAGGTTAAATCACTTGACACACTCATATATGTTGGTTCTGGTGCAAATCCTAAATTTTCAAGTTCAGATGATCAAAAGCTCGAGAAGGGTAATCTTGCCTTGAAGAACTCCATGGATGCAAAGCTTCCTATAAGAGTTATCTGTCTTCAAAAAACTCTAGGTATGAGTAGCCAGGGATACACTTATGCAGGGCTGTACATTGTGAGCAACTATAAGCAAGAAAGAGACCAAAGGGGCAAATTGGTGTTCAAGTTTGAATTGCGTAGACTCTCTGGGCAGCCAAATCTTACTCTCCCAATTGCGTGGGATTGGGAGCCAATACAATTGACTGAAAGAGAAGGTGGCGTTAACAATCGAGTGGTGGTAGATGATGTATCACAAGGGAAGGAGAAGTTTCCCATTCCTGCAGTGAATGATATTGATGATGAAAAACCACCACCTTTTACTTACATAACCAAAATGATATATCCTCGTTGGTTTCATTGTACTTTGCCAAAGGGTTGCAACTGCAAAAATGGATGTTCGGATTCAAAGCCATGTCCATGTACACATAGGAATGGATGTGAGATTCCATTCAACAATAAAGGCTCTATACTTAAAGCAAAGCCAGTTATCTACGAGTGTGGTCCTTCTTGCAAATGTCCCCCTTCTTGCAATAATAGAGTTAGCCAAAATGGTCCAATATATCAATTGGAAGTTTTCAAAACCAAGTCTAGAGGATGGGGTGTCCGGTCACGAGATTATATCTCTTCGGGAAGTTTTATATGTGAATATCTTGGAGAGCTGCTTGATGAGAAAGAAGCTGAAAAAAGAATTGAGTGTGATGAATATCTCTTCGACATTGGTAACTATGATGAAGGAGAGGGTAGTGATATGACTGATATTGTTGATATTTGTAGGAAGGATAGTGATGGGTTCACGGTTGACGCAGCCCAATTGGGAAATGTGGGGAGATTCTTCAATCATAGTTGTTCACCCAACCTTTATGCGCAAAATGTTTTGTTTGATCATGATGACAAGAGAGCCCCTCATTTAATGTTGTTTGCTCAAGAGGATATACCACCTTTGCAAGAGCTAACTTACGACTATAATTATAAGATGGATCAAGTTCGTGATGCAAATGGAAACCTCAAGAAGAAGAACTGCTACTGTGGTTTTCCCGAATGCACTGGAAGAATGTACTAAGGAAGCTGTCTGAGTTTTGATCCATCGTACTGTGTCAATCCACCATGCATTGTAAGTGGACTGAGTTTTCTTTCAGGTATACTTGTGCACTTATCTATAGAGAGAACAAGTACCTTGACAGACTAAGAAGGGTTGTTTTGGGTTCTGTTTTTCTAAAAATGTTTTTGCAATATTGATGACAAATTTTGAGATGTATGTTGACATTAGATGACAACCCTTATACAATACAGATCTTGCTGCCCCTTAAAGAATCAATTTAGTTATATTGTTTCTTTTACTATTTTAGTTATGTTGTTTCTTTTTTATTAAAGATTGCCTTCATATTTAGTTTAGCAGTTTTTAGAATATTGTTTCCTAATATTTTTGGTTGTACCTCCTATATATATGGAAGAATATTAATTTGTCTGGTTAAGTTGGAAATTGAATAAAACCATAAGGAAGTTTCTTCCTCCAACTTCTCCTCTCTTATTCTATTATATCAGCCACCCTAGGTAAACCATCTTCTTCTTCTATTAGCCATAGACCCGTGACGTGTAGTCAAACTACTGAAACATACATCTGGTTCTTGTTGCCAGCGTCATGGGTACTGATTTGAACATCGATTCAACTATCAAAGCTTTGTAGAAATCTATCAAAGCTTTGAAATTTCAGCATGACAAAATTGAAAATTTGACAACTACTGTTGCCTCCTTATTCGCATCTTCTCACACCCAGACAACTTCTCTTGCCAGATTGGAGACACTGGTCCAACAGCTACTCACTAGCCATGGTAAACAACCTGTCCAGGAGGAGAACTTTGTTATTGCCCTTCAAACCGAAGGGATATCTACTATGGCAGACATAGGGGACCGGTCACTCCTATTTTTCTCGGTATCCCAAGGTCGTATTCCCTTCGTTTTCAGGCGAGGAAGACCTTATGGTTTGGCTACTTTGTTGTGAGTCTTCGTTTCGCCATAATGTGTTTGTCCGGTAGCACACCACATGATTGGCGAGGCCCAATTGTGATACCATTCTGAAACTGCGGTGTCACCATTTGCTTCTTGGCCATCGTTTAAGGAAGAGTGTTGTTTGAGTTTTGGGCCACCTCGAAGTATTAATCCACTAGGCGAACTAAAACTGTTCTTTTAGACCGGCATGCACGATGATTATGTCAAGGACTTTCGAGCTCACCTTGCACGTGCAGGCACAGTATTCCCAGCCCAACGGGTTGATTTTTTTTTTTTTATCAGTGGTCTGGATGAGGTACTTCGGATTGATGTAGAAAGGACCCAGCCTAGTTCTCTAAACGAAGCCATTAAGACATCCCATGACTTCTATTGGAAATGTCACATCTTAGGCCTTCTACCTGCCAAAACAGCAAACAATGGCCCACACCCTGCCGCACCCCTTCCCTCTGCCCGTGTCTCACTACCCCCACAACAACCACACCAAATCACCTCGACCTCCGTATAAATTCTTATCCCCAGCAGAAAAGGCCAAGAGGGATGTCAAAAAATTGTGTTATAATTACGATGAGCTATTTTTTACGGGTCGTAAATGCCGCCACCTTTTTATGTTGTGGACATTAGAGAATGGCGAAGAACCGCCTGCTTGGCTTGCATCCACAAAGTTGAACGCACGGGATGGAATCACCTGAATTCGCCTTGAGGATTGTCACTTGCTTCAAGCTTGAGGACACGCTTGATCTCCAGGAAGGGTGTAATGATACAATATAGATCCTGCTTACCCCTACCGCCTGCTTGGCTTAACATCTCTTCCTCTCTTTAACGATGTTGCGACACGGCCCAAGAGGCCCTGATCCCACGTTGATCCAATTCACCACCTGCTTAGAGTCACTATAGAAGCGTACCTTCCTTTCGCCAGCTTCCCACGCCCATTTAAGACTTATGTAGTAGAGCGCCTAGGCTTCTCTTTCAATCACATTATCAGCTCTATTAGTGCAACTAAAACCCCCTTTCCAATTACCCATTCTGTCACGCATGATACCTCTACAACCCACCGGGTCATGGATTCCCTTGAAAGCATCGACCGTATTCACCATAACCCATGAGTCGTCCTGCTCGTTTTGTGATGCATTTAGATATGCTTGTGTGCACTACAAACCAACCCTTAGTGCACAACGGACCATCCCTTAGTGCACCACTCAACGGGTGATGTCCCCCTTAGTGCACAACAGACCATCCCTTAGTGCACCACTCAACGGGTGATGTAGGACAAGGAGAACAAGAAGAACACAAACAATATAACTCAAACTCAAAGACTTTCAATAATATTCAAACTTAGAACTACTCAATACAAAAGTCTATTTAAATAGAAATTAAGAAATATTGAAGAGTTGCAAATATTAAAAACATGCATAGGAATTATAAAATAAACATAATGAGAATTAAAAAATACTAATAATATTTAAAGCTAATTCAAATTTCCCATAGAAAGTAGCCCCCAAACTCCATGTCCCTTATACTTCATGCATGTGACCATTGTTCTATTATTTTCTCAATTCGTGTTCCGCATCATTCTCCCTTGGTTGCGAAGGAATCGCCCCGAGTCCTCAAAATGTAATGTTACCTCCTCAGAGTAATATAAAGTCTTTATGAGGGTCTTCAACTTTTTTTTTTCTTTTTTTGAATCTTATAATACCCATATCTCCTCAAACTCAATTTGTGAAATGTTTTCGTTAACCTTCTCATACGTTCTAAATATTTTCTTACGCTGCCTTTTGTTAGCCTGGGCTTTATACCTTGCATTGATAGCATCAAGTTTAGCCATAGCTTCATCTTGAGCTTCAAGAACACACCTTTCAGATTTTACATCTCCATAGTACTTTTGCAACAGTGAGATAAAGTTAATAGCATGCGTAGGTTGTTTTTGATAAGCAGTAAAATTGTCTATGATCACTAATTTATTAGTGACTTCATAAATTTGACAAAATGCATGTTCATCATTTTCTTTGGAAATCTCTATTTCGTCTTCACAATCATTTTCTCCTTCCTTGATATTTTCTCCAGGATTAATAAACCTTCGAGCCCAACCTTCATCCGAATAGTAGTCAGGTTCTTTTCTCTTCAAACATCTCTTAGTCCTGGCCTCTTGTGTGAGTGGTGGAGGTTGAGATTTATGAAAGTGAATAGCCTTGATTTCATGTGTAGGTTGGCTTTTAATATCAACAAGTGTTCTTGTAGGAAGAAGGGGGTGTTTATTTGGAGTAACTTCAGTCAACAGATTTTCAGCTTGAAAGTTCATATTAAAAGATTTACCTTGTGTCCACAATGGAGCTACTGACATTATTGGTTGTTCTTGAACCTTGATGGCAGTCTGTTGCTTGGGAGTTTCTTTGGTGTTGTTTGTAGCATGCTGGAATTTCACATGATCTCATCCATAACATGTCCTCTGCATATCTACTAACATTATGATATTTTTGGAAGAAATGTACCTAGTAATAATCCTTCGGCAAAAACTGTTCCATAAGAAGTTTTCTCATTTTCTTCCATGTTTTCACTGAGCGTTTACCTTGTCTTGTTCTGTTGTTTTGAATAGTCTTCCACCATGCCAGAGCTCTTCCACGCAGCATATTGGCAATAAATTTTGCTTGCTTATTTTCAGGAACTTCAAACATGCCTAGGTAGTTATCAACTTCTGAACACCAATGCAATAAGGCCTCTGAATCTAAATATCCATTAAACGTTGGTAGATTATTTTGAAGTGATGGTCTGCCTACCGACGTTGCCGAAGAGGAAATCGGTTTGCATGATTTACAAGTGGGTCTCGTTCAAGGTTGGTAGCTTGAGGAGCTCCATTACCATTTATACGAAAACTAATATCAACAAGAAGATTGCGCGCGTATATCGAGTAGCTCACGATATACATTTTCTTCTTGCCTTAGAAAATTTGCCCAAAAGGCATCCACTCTACGGTCAACGCCGTTGGATGGGTTGTTACCCTTGTTGTTGATACCGCCTTGTGCCATCTTGGGTCGAAACAAGTGGAGAGGGCACTGCCGCTATCTCAGTTGTCGCCTAGGAACTTGAGGCTCTGAATACCGACTGATGTAGGAACAGGATGAACACAAACAATATAACTCAAACTCAAAGACTTTCAATGATATTCAAACTTGAACTACTCAATACAAAAGTCTATTTAAATAGAAATTAAGAAAAGTTGAAGAGTTGCAAATATTAAAAACATGCATAGGAACTATAAAATAAACATAATGAGAATTGGAAAATACTAATAATATTTAAAGCTAATTCAAATTTCCCAAAGTAGCCACCAAACTCCATGTCCCTTAGACTTCATGCATGTGACCATTGTTCTATTTATTTTCTCAATTCATGTTCTATTTATGTGTGTGTGTGTGTATTTATTTTCTCAAAATATGTCATATACCCATACTTGTCTTTACAACATGTTAGGAAATCATCGGGACAAGATGACCAAGGCCAGCTTCTAATGTTTTTATTTTCTCTCTTTTTACATAAAAATGTCAAATGAAATGGGACACAAACAAAAAATAAAATTAAAAGTATGCATCTTCAGGGATAACTTATTTTATTCGTCCGACTTTGCTATTTATTTCACTCAAAGACTGTGTATATATGTTACAAAGAAGTCTCGAATCCATGCCACTTAGCACTCCCCATCCACACGCCATAAGTCCATAACCAGCACATCATATCCAAAACATTCTACATTCAGAACTGGAATTTAAATTGGTCACGGGAGAGAAGGGTTGTGTATTTATTGAGGGTATGTATGTTTGAGCAAAAGCATATATGCATCCATGCCGTACACGGAAATGATAGAGGAATTGTATAGTAGCAGCTAGCTGTCCCACGAGATAAAGTATCACATATATATATTACTTTAGGTAGAATGATGTTGCCTAGCTTAGTTTGTTTTATCCTAGAAGGGTTAACACTTAACATAGCCTTTTATATTATTAGCGCCTACATGTATATGCATAAATAAATTTGGCATCTTTTCTACATATTACCAAGCACTTTCTAATTGATTATTCTTTTTCTTTAAAAAAAAAAAAAAAAAAAAAAGACTACACACAAATATATAGATAAGATCTGGTGCGACTATTGTTTCCCGTACAGTTGTGCAATTTTGCACCACTATGTATGTACAAATGCACCACCACGTGTTCAGAAATGCACCAGGATGTCGTGCCTTTACATTGTAAAAGTGACCAACACAACATCGCTTTAAATTGTTTATATTACCATACACTG